CAATAGTGTATTGGAAAATGAATTTCCCCCAAAAAAAAGGAAGTAATTTTCCTCCCGAACATACCTATTTTCCTTTGACTAAGACATCATTTTCCATTGACCTCATTTCCCTCCCCCCCCCCCCCTCCCCCTTACCAAACACTGAAAACTTGGAAAACATTTTACGTAAGTCATTTTCTGGGTTTTCAAACGCACCCTTAGAAGAAATTACATTGTGATACCTACATAGTTTCGTTTTAAATCAACCTACAATATAATACTTTACCACCAAACAGTCCTGTATATAAGTATTATATTTAGCACAAAATTAAATAACCTATATATATATATATATATATATATATATATATATATATATATATATATATATATATATATATATATATATATATATATATATATAGAGGGAGAGAGAGAGAGAGAGAGAGAGAGAGAGAGAGAGAGAGAGAGAGAGAGATTAAATACCACCTATGGTCCCTCGAGTTTGGTGGCATCGCCATCAATGGTCCCTAACTTCCGTAATTACCATCTGTCATCCTCCGAGTTGTCAAAAGTTACCTTCTAGCGTCCTTCCGTTACTTCTTCCCGTCTCAGCCGTTAAAATGGAGGGTAATATTGTCATTTGACTTATACGAAAAGAGTTAATACCAGCCAAGGTCCCTCGAGTTTAGTGGTTTGGCCATCTTTAGTCCCAAGTTTCCATATTCCATTATTTTCCTTCTTTCATATTCTCTTCTTCAAATGTATTATTATTACTATTATTTATAGTTATTATTAAATTCTTATTATTATTATTACTATTATTTAAAGTTATTATTGTTATTATTAAATTATTATTATCATTATTATTATTATTATTATTGTTATTATTAAATTATTATTATTATTATTGTTATTATTATATTATTAACATTAAATTGTTATTATTATTATTATTATTATTATTATTATTATTATTATTATTATTGTTATTATTATTATTGTTATTATTATTATTATTATTATTATTAATTATTGTTATTATTATTTTTTAAAATTATTATTACTATTATTATTAGTATTGTTATTGTTGTTGTTGTTGTTATTTTTGTTGTTGTAAAAATGTACAAATGCTATTATTATTATTATTATTATTATTATTATTATTATTATTATTATTATTATTATTATTATTATTATTATATTCATATTATTATTGTTATTGTTATTTTTATTGTTATTATTATTATTATTATTATTATTAAATTCTTATTATTATTACTATTATTTATTGTTATTATTATTATTATTATTATTATTATTATTATTATTAAATTTTTAAATTATTATTATTATTGTTGTTGTTGTTGTTGTAGAAATGTGCAAATGCTATATAGGATGAGTGTATTTAATAAAATCAGAAAATTAGAGAAATAAAAATTTGGAGGAATGGAAAAATGGAAAACTGAAAAAATGGAGAAGGAAAACTGGAAAAATGGAGAAAGAAAACTGGAGAAATGGAGAAATGAAAAAGTGGAAATGGAAAAACAGATAAATGAAGTAAACGACCCCTATACATTTGTAAATTTTCTTTAATATTGTATAGGAGAAGAGGGAGTTCGAGTTGGAAGTTGAGAAACCACCAACTTTCTTTAATTTTGTTTGGCCAAGTTTGAGACTAAAGATGGCCAAACCACCAATAATAATAATAATAATAATTTAATAATAACAATAACAATAATAATAATAATAATAATAATAATAATAATAATAATAATAATAATAATAATAATAATAATAATTTAATGCTAATAATATAATAATAACAATAACAATAATAATAATAATTTAATAATAACAATAATAACTTTAAATAATAGTAATATTAATAAGAATTTAATAATAACTATAAATAATAGTAATAATAATACATTTGAAGAAGAGAACATGAAAGAAGGAAAATAATGGAATATGGAAACTTGGGACTAAAGATGGCCAAACCACCAAACTCGAGGGACCTTGGCTGGTATTAACTTTTTTTTATAAGTCAAATGACAATATTACCCTCCATTTTGACGGCTGAGACGGGAGGAAGTAACGGAAGGACGCTAGAAGGTAACTTTTGACAACTCGGAGGATGACGGATGGTAATTACGGAAGTTAGGGACCATTGATGGCGATGCCACCAAACTCGAGGGACCATAGGTGGTATTTACTCTCTATATATATCATAGCAGAAAACTGTAATGCTATTATAATAACTAAAAAACTTTTGAACTCTTTCAACATGTACATACTGCCTGAAAGGTAAAAGTAAGCATAATATATTCGATTAGGCTAATTATTAGATACAACTGTAACACCTCCATTTTTTAAATACAGAAAGTCAAAGAAATGTGGAAGCGAATTCAAAACTTTAAACTCAATGGAGTGTTATGTCACGCTTAAGTTATTCTAAACCCAAATGCACAGGCTACAAAGGTTCTATCTACAATCCAATTACAAGAACTAAGCAAGTTGAAGGGTGTCCTTTTCCACACTTTAGAAACAAATCATGGGACTTAAAGAACTAAGTGCATGACAAATGACATAACTAAAACACAATATATGCACCAAACATTTTTCCACACTTTAAAATTGCAAACCGGGGTAAAAGAGTAAATAGGGATAGAGAATTAGCCCCCTCTTTATTGCAAGAGATTACTCAATTTCCATCATCAAACCCTTTGCCCCAACCTTTTCACTATGGACAATCAATCTGGGCATCATTCACACATATAAGCTCAATATCATAGTAAAGAAAGATTCAAACACTTATTTAAAAGCTTCAAAGATATTCTAAGATTAATGCTGAATAAAAGTGCAAGTATTTAAAATGCTAGAATTTAAAACTGCAGGAATATAAATGCAAGAAATTAAAAGTGCAGGAATGGTCAAAGAAAAGTAAAGTCGGCACCCCACACACAGGGTACCTAATGTTTATCCAGGAACCAAGGACAATGTTCAGAAATTCACGGGATCAGGGGTAAAGTGGGAAAGATCATGTGATGGGCGGAATGGGGTAAAACGTACTTCTTTTGAGTCAGGATCAGATGGGGCTGCCTGTGCTGTCCCCGTCCTCTTCATGGAATAAGGGCGGGTTCCCACTTGGTGCTGTGCTGGCCCCAAAAGTGTTGATTATTGTATTCATGGTTTCAAGGTGCAACTGGTATTGGAAGGCAATCAAGGAATTCCAATCAGTCACTGGCAGAAATCTAGCAGGCACTGTAGGCAGGTTTGGGGGCTCGACTCTGACTGCGGCAAGTTCTCTAACAGCTACTATTGGAGGTATCTGACTATGCTCTACCGTCCTTTCTTCCCTCATTGATCGAGGTACCGGGCGAATTCCCGTCATAGCAATCTCCGAGATCGGAATCGGCATTACCCTTCTCGGACAAATCATCTTCCTTGGACGGCTCTGGTTCTACTGGTCGTTTTCTATGTGAGCTCCCGACCTCGGGTCTATCATGCTTTGCCTTTTTCGATATTTCCTTTGTTCTTACCGTGGTGTTCCTACAAGATAGAATAACAACCCATTCCACGCCAACAATTTTAACTCAAATATTCGTGATAGGCACATATACTCCAATTCACACATACCCGAACATGTAATTTTTAGGTCAAAATTCATGAAATTTGATTATTCTTGCAATTAAAAACAACCTAAAAGCATTAATTTATCAAAACGAAACTCATTCTTGCTCAAGCATTTAAACAATTATATGAACTTAATAAAGCTATACACACAAGGTAATATCAAACAATTAATCACAAACCAACAATTTTCTTCCTTCGACATGAATTTTGGAAAATTCCTCTTTCTTGCCTTCTATATTTTTCCCTCTCTCTCTCATTTTTTTTTCCAACAAAGTATTATAGGCAAACAATTCTTGTAGCATGATTAACATGGGATTCACACAATGCATGCTCAAACAAATTCAATTTCAAGAGCAAAGTCAACAATTCCCAAATCCTTGCAATCTTGAATATGCAATTTGAATAATATAGATGATCTAAATACAAAATAATGGCATACAAAAGTTATAGTATCATCTAATTGTATTTTTCACTCATTAATTTCAACATGCAATGCCAAATTTTCACAATCCATACAAAATTTCTTCTTCATAAACTAGGGTTCAAGAGCAAAATCAAATCCAACAATGTAGCATAATATACTTAAAATTACAACCATAAAGATGTTCTATATAGTTCATAGAAGAATTCTACATCATTAATGAAGCAAATAATCCAACAAAAATTGTTCCACCATTTTAGAGACTTAGAGAGATAAAGTTTTGGTGAAGAAGACAACAATGGAGTTTGTAGAAGATTACCTCGATGGTGAACTAGAGTTCCTTCAATCTACTTAGCAAAAGATGGGGAAGATGGTGTAGAGAAATTTCACCTTGCGTGAATGGAGAACTAAGGAAAAAAAGAAGAAGATTAGGTCTTCTTGTAGGGCAAAATTGTGTGAAGCTCTCGGCCGAGGTGCATTCGGCACATCATTCACGCTGCTGTCACTTCATGATAGCGGAGTGAATGTTGCCATAATCTAATTCATGTCGAAGTCACGTCGTAACAGCTGCATGAATGGGTTACCGAACCCATTCACGGTCGTGTCATGCGTGATTCACGCTCGTGAATTAGACCTAGTGTGGTCCTTTTCGCTCCTTCTTTGTTCTTTCACCCTGGATTTTTCCACATGAGTTCCTGTAACACCTTAGTTCCCGAAAATTTGTACAAAAATGTAAATAAAATTGCATATGTAAAAACAAAATTAAAATTGCAAAAATAGACGAACAAAACAAAACAAAAAACGCTTGGGTTGCCTCCTAAGTAGCGCTACGTTTAACGTCTTTAGCCCGATGTACCCTTGTTTCCATCAATCATTTTCAAAGCATTGTGGTTGCAGACATCCCCATTTCTTTCTCCAAGTCAGGTTCTTGGTCTTCCACGAGAAAGTTGCTTTGGCTTTGGACTTATTCTTTCCTTTCATGTTCGTGGGTTTCATCCGTAGTCATGCCAAATTTGGCTTCCTCATTTTCGACGCGCAATGTGAGCTTGCCCATCCCTACGTCTATAATAGCTCGACAGGTTGCCAAAAATGGTCTTTCGAAGATTAGCGGCACGTCCAAATTGTCATGTCCCACGTCTAGCACTACAAAATCAACTGGGATTATAAAGTCCTTGATTCTTACTAGTACATCCTCCACGATGCCCTTCGGATAACGAATGGATCCATCGGCTAGTCGGAAGGTCATACCAGTAGGAGTCAATGGTGGCATGATCAGTCTATCAAACATAAAGGAAGGCATAACATTTATCGAACTACCTAGGTCGACAAGTGCATTATCAAAGGTAAGATCTTTTACCGCACATGGTACTATAAATGCACCGGGGTCACCCTTCTTCCTGGGGCACCCCTTATCCAGTACTGCCGAACATTCTACATTCAAGTGGACTCATGATTCATCACGAATCTCTTTCTTGTGCTTCACAAGATCTTTTTTGACATGTTAATATGAAGTTTTCTCAATAATGCGTTAAATTTACCTTTTTCCTCCAATTCGGCCATGGTTACCAACCTTTGAGGAAACGGGGTCGGTGGCCGGTAATGAGGTGTCACTGGCTTAGTCCTCACCTCATTATTCTTTGCATTTTATTCGACCGCAAAAGCCTTTCCCTTTGCTGGTTCCCCTTCCTCCTCTTCATACGAGATCTCGCTTCCTTGGGTAATTTGTACTGAGATTGCGTTCACTCTCTCCTTTGGATTGTTTCCTGTCGTGCTTGGAAAGGATCCCCAATGTTGTTCAAATATCATCTTTACAAGTTGATCCAGTTGTGTTTCAAGACCTTTCATGGATGTTTGCATTTCTTGCCTCATTGCGGCTCGTTCCTGTCTAAATTCTTGAGTGATATCTTGTTTTAGAAGTATGTGATCGTTTTTTAAATTCCTGAATAGCCCTGGATAGTCTCTCACCTACTTCTCGAATGTCAGCTTGGTAAGGTTGCATCTCGCCCTGGGAAGCGTGTGGTGGTCTATAGAGAGCGTTGTTTCTTCCTCCGTTTTGTAGGCCGTAGGCAATTTGACCACTTTCTCTATTCTGACCATAGGCGGGTTTACTACCTTGTGCAGCTTGTGGCCTCCCTTGAGCTTGGCTCCCTTGATTCTAACCTATAGTTGGCTTCTAACCATATCATCCACCACCACTATTGTTCTCGTTAGAATTTCCTCTTTGCCCCTGTGCGTATGCTATTGCATCCACGTTTTCTGTTGCATTCGGGGAAGTACATTCTGCAGTGTCGTGCGACCATCCACATACATTACAGTATAACGCTAGACATGCATTACTAATTCTTGACTTCCATCTTATGGATCATGCTTTGCGGTTTCTTATCTTGTGGCTCATTGCTTCGACCCTCGCGTCTTGGGCTACATTTCTCGACACCTCGTACATCCCTGCTTTTGTGTCCCTTCGATTATGCCAGAAAGAGGTATTGGAAGAGATTCTTTCGATTAGAGCTTCTGCGTCTGCAGGTGATGATGAGACGAATGCTCCTCGTGATGAAGAGTCTAGTAGCATTTTACTATTGTCGGCAAGTCCTCCATAAAACGAACTGATTAGGTCCCAAGGATGTAGTAAGCCTAGTAGGCACTGCCTGCGTAGCATTTTAAACCTCCTCCACGCTTCTCCTAACGACTCCAATGAACTTTGCTTAAAGTCTTGAACCTGCTTGCGCACCTTCATCGTTTTCATGAGCGGGAAGAACTCGTTCATGAACTCTCGATGTAACTGCCCCCCACGAACGAAAATGTTCGTTGTCCTGTGAATCTAACCAAGTTGCCGCCTCCCCAATTACTGAGAACGGAAATAGTGTGAGCCGAATAATATCCTCTGGTATTCCCTTGGGTCTGAACATGCTGAATGATCTGACAAATCTCGTCATGTGTGTATGCGGATCCTCCAATGACAATCCCGCTGAATCGATTGTTCTGAACTAGATTAATGACGGACGGGTGGACCGTGAAATTGTTCCTTTCCATCGGTGGAATATAGATGAAATTTTGCATAGAAAATTTTGCTGTCATGTACTCTGCTATGGTATGCATGCGTTCTTCTCATGGTGCATCATTAAACTCGTTTCTCCTTAGTGGTACTGCATGTCCTGGAATTTCCTCATTGCGTCCTTCATGATTATTCACGTGTTCTCGAGGTGGAGATCCCTAGAAGACATTGAGTTCTAGTTGAGGTTGCTCATTTAGTGGTGGTGTGGATCTTGGTCCTGGCATCTCGTTCATGTTATGGTTGTTTACCGCGCTTGAAGATCCCATATTGCTTCTTATTTCTTGAATATGCACTATCCTTGATTCTCTTCTCGTGGTTCTTTGAACTTCCAGATTTAATGGGATTAGTCTTTGACCTCCTTTTGATCGGGTGTGCATCAACCTTCAATTCAAAGTAAAGGAAACGAATTCGTGCAACTAGAAGTAGTCACACTTAAGGGTAAAAGAAAGCAAATAAAATGAAAGAAAAGCAAGAATTGAACAATTTAAAGAAAACTCAAATCAAGATTCAAAGCTTGGACTTATTTACTATCTCGCAAACTCAAAAGCTACAATTTACCACTCCAGGGCAATGGCGCCATTTCGGTATTCCAAAATTTCCTCTCTTTTATTTTTCAGCTTCTTCCTCTTAAGCTCGGGTTCGGCGTGGCCTCGCCTCCTTTGTCAAAAGAGTAGGTGTGCAAAAATCGTGTAGATGATTGATAGGGTGAAAAACGGAAGTGTAAGCTCCCGAGTGTGGTACTCAAGGAGTGATAACTTGGAAATTTTGGGAGTGTGTTATGGCAAGGGTTTCAAGCTTAGGAAGTCTTGATATAGAGTAAACATGCTTCAAGTGAGAGCGAGTGTAAAAAACATACACAAAAACAAATACCAAATCAAGAGGGAAAGAATGTCTTAGGATTGTGTGTACATTGCAATGTGTGATTAGCTAACCTCAAGGTTTGCGACTGATTGAATAGGGTGTCACAAATTCAAGAGGAATAATGCTTGCTAGTGCGTAGCCATTTTGGTCTATACGTGTAACACCCCACTTTTCTAACTCTTAATTACAACTCTAAACAATCATTTACACCACTAAGCAGCGGAAATAACTAAAAGATAATTAGTGGAGTGTCACCGCCACAACCACCACTCCGTTGTAATTGCACAGGCTAAAGGGGTAAAACTAGAAATAAAGTAAAAGTCTGGCATCCATCATAAAAACTAAAACATAGGGAGGAAATACATCACCCCAAAATGGTCTACATCATCCTCAAAACATAAAGTCAAAAAGTATAAATCCATAACATAAACATCAATCAAACTAGAGTTTAGATATCTCTATCTACGAGACTAATCTAACTCGACTTCTTCACACTGCTGGGCCCACCTGAAAGGGGTTTTGCAAGCAACACATAGACAAATAGGAAAACACCCGTTACCACGAAGCTAAGTATAACCACACTCAACCCTGTAAATCATTCTAGCATTTACTTAGAAAACATTTGATTTCTTTATAGCAATAAGCTCATCTCAAATCATCTTTAGATTTATCACATTCTTTCTAGATGCTTGCACCCTATAATATCAGTTGGCACTCTCATACATGTATAAGACTGATCACATAGATTCATCAACATACAAACTTCTCAAATAACTTAACAAGCAATTCATGCTTACAGATAGGATCATGCTAATAGACCATATAACAGGTATTCTCATACTTTCACATTCTCATCACATAACTTGATAAATAGAGCTTGTAGTACAACAAGACAATCATACTCAATGGAAAATCTTAAGTCAACTTTCTCATTATGAAATCTTATACGATACTTTACTCACATGCAATCTCATGTAATACTATACATCACTCTCATATACAAACTTGTGCAAAGCTGTAAACATATTCATATGCAATCTCATGCGATACTATAATCATACTCTCGTGCAATCTCGTGCAATAATATGCGTCATACTCATATGCAATCTCGTGCAACTATATACTCATACTTATATGCAATCTCGTGCAATAATATACTCATGCTCATATGCAATCTCGAGTAATAATATACTCATGCTCATATGCAATCTCGTGCAATACTATAGTCACACTCTTATGCAATCTCGTGTAACTATATACTCATACTTATATGCAATCTCGTGCAATAATATACTCATACTCATATGCAATATCGTGTAATAATATACTCATGCTCATATGCAATCTCGTGCAATAATATACTCATACTCTTATGCAATCTAGTGCGATAATATAACCATACTCTTATGCAATCTAGTGCAATAATATAATCATACTCTTAAGCAATCTAGTGCAATAATATACTCATACTCTTATGCAATCTAGTGCAATAATACAATCATACTCTTATACAATCTAGTGCAATAATATACTTATACTCTTATGCAATCTAGTGCAATAATATAATCATACTCTTATGCAATCTAGTGTAATAATATATATATATATATATATATATATATATATATATATATATATATATATATATATATATATATATATATACTCATACACTCTTTTATAAAATAGAGTACTTTCTGTGTAGGTCTCTTTGTTACTCTCTTGAGTCTCTTTCTTTCTCTTGAGTCTCTTTTGACTCTCTTTTTTTTTATCTTGAGTCTCTGTTGACTTTCTTTCTTTATCTTGAGTCTCTTTTGACTCTATTTCTTGAGTCTCTATTGACTCTCTTCTTTCTCTTTACTCGTAGGCGGCTTAGGATTTCACCGAAGCATGAATTACCCTATCGGGAACGGCATAAATCCGACCCAATATCTCCTACCGTCTATGGAACCAATCTCGTGGTTCAAACTCTATGGAATCAGGTATCGAACTATTAGTGCGCACACCCCATAACCAGGATTCCAAGCCTGACGGGAATTTTCCAACCTCGTAACGTGGCAATACGCCGCTTTACATATACTGGGACCGCAATGTCCATAAATATCTCCCGAGAGGACATATTCCAAACAGTATCCTCCAAAACCTCACCGATATAGATAATACATAAATATATCTCTCATGCATCAATCTCATGCATGCAAACAACTCTACTACTTCTCAATGCCTCGAAGAATGATATATCACATGCTTATGGCTTTTTGAAAACAATACTTGGGCTCACGTTGGCCCCTTATGCATTTTTGAAATATGACATATGTGAGATGCCAAAATGCTCTATAGCATGCTTCTAAACCATGTATAAAATGACATGAAGTACTCAAGAATATAATATCATGCTCGGTTTGCAACATAGCAAATTCTATACAATTCACTTCAACAATTATGCTTCTATTCTTATTGATCATGTATCACAATCTAATCATGCTTTCATAATAAATCATATTCTCAAAGGATCATGCTTCTTTACTCAATAAAAACATCATCAGATCACATAGTTAAATATTTCTCACACATAGTGAACTAAGCAAATATGCACTATGTAGCAATTCTTCAATAATTCCTTCATTAGATACTCATTTTTTATCCA